TGATGGCCAGGAGTCCAGATTATTGAACGCAGAGAGGGGTAACCTACTCGTGGACAATATTTAGAAATTTTAGCAGCTAGAGGTGTTATACAGCTCTGTTGAAAATTTCGGCAAGCTCCTGTGGAGTCTGATTATATAATTTGAGAACTGTCGTGTAATATAGTCACAGCTATGGCCACCTCTTCAGCACGGGTAGAGTTGGTTGCGCGGAAGGACAGACCATCCACCTGCCTGTCTTGATGGACCACGGCGGCCGTGTACAAACCCCCGCGGGAAGGGCCGGCGATGCCCGTGTAAAATACGTTTTGTTTACAGCTGAATTGCCGCTGGAGAGCAAGGGCGACGCCTCTCGACGGCCAGCGTGCGACTCACGTGACATATTGGTGGGGAGGGGTCGAGCATGAATCACGTATTTCGATTGTTCGGGCACTCGTTCCCGCTCCTCTGTGAGGAATTCATGCCGAATGTGTAGGCGATCTAGGAGTCGTCTGCCTGACGGGGTCTGCGCCAGGCACATGTATTGATTTCTTCGGTAGCCTCGCGGAGTTCCTGATAGGAACTCCGCGAGGCTACCGAAGAAATCAATACATGTGCCTGGCGTTTGCCACTCCGAAGGCAAGAAGTTTGGGATTACTCGAGCAAACGTTTGTTTGAAATGCAAAGACACGGGAGGTAGGACGCGTTGAAGGTGTTTTCACTCGGCTTCCTTGGCTGGCGTCTCATCGGTGTTACCAGCCCGCCGTCTCTATTCTCGAACGGGATTGGTGTTTTTGATTGGCACCTCGTCGATGTCGCTGGTCTTGCACTGCCGAAGCTTGCGTTTGGCTTCTCTGGCTAGCACCTCGTTGGTATTGACGTCACCATTCGCGAACGTGATCAGCTTAGCTAACCCTCGCAATACCGGCGACAGCCGGGTAGAGCACGCGGACACTAGCTGGAAGCATGCCGCGACGGCGTCCCGCCCGTCAGCATGATCGCACGGCAAGCAGCGGCGCACTGTCCACATTGTTTTGCCGCCTAGAAGATGTTGGCTCATTGTCAGCGCTGCGAGATTCTCGAGGTGCGCGCCGCGCACACACCCACCGGCTCGCGGCTTCTTCTCGCCGACAGATGGAGAGAGGTGGCGCGGGTGAGATGATGCCCACGTGAAGAGTGGGCTCGAGCGTTGCCAGAGGTGGAGAGGGTGAAGCGAGAAAGAGCGGACACGCGGCGAGCGCGTGGCAGGCGAGGGAGAGAGGTCACCTCACACTGCTAGGTGGGCGTGAGCTGCTTGGCACCACTCCGACACCTGCAGCGATGGGAGTGGTATGGACTCAGGGACAGCGTTACACAGGCTAGTGAAAGAGCTGCTTCGCACCTAATATACTTTTGTTGTTTGTTTGAATAATTGACTGATCGATTGATTGATTCCCAATACCGTCACTGTGCCTTCAAGCGATGTACACCTTCCGTATGACCTTGATTGAAGGACATGTGGGGTTTGACGTCCCAAAACCACCACATAATTACGAGAGATGACGTCGTGGAGGGCTCTGGAGATTTAGACTAGCTGGGTTTCATTCTCAGTATGACCGTTCGCCTACGTTGCTGAAAAGTCTTCGCTAGAAGCAAGCAATGGCTCCTGCTATAGTGTCTCCACGAATCTCAGCGTTGATGACTGTGAAGAAGTAGACGTTCTCTCCATACAAGCCATCTAGCGGAATGAGGTCGCAAATCACTGTGCATCCACTACGAGCACTTTAACTCTTAGCTGAACGCAACCAGATTGGACATAACCACATCCATTTCTAATGTCACCATGTTGGCATATTTCCGGTTACTGTGGAAACTGTGGGTCATCCCCATCATTACATCGTTTGTCCATGATTGTCACTACAAATCATTTCTCCGAAATAGCCGCGAAGCTTCCATTCAAGTTTCTCCTAGTTCTCTGGAACGCGCCTCGTCGTTTGGCTCTATTCGTGAAGTTTTCGTCATGTTCCTCAGAATTTCACAACGTGAAATGGACTCTTGGTAACTTCCGCTATTGGCTCCTGCCACAGGCCTATTCTTGAACATCTGCCTTCACAGCTCCTGACGTGATGGACGTACTAGGAAAGGAAGCATGCTTTCCCGTAACCTGCTTGTGCAACGAGCTTTTTCCAAGACATCAGCCTACGAGGATAGTTTTATGTCACCAGCAGTTTTCTTAACTCCATTAAGAAGAGCGCAACTTGAAAGAGCACCAAGCCATATTACTATATTGTTGAACTCTTAACAACTTCAAGACTACAACAGGGGTCATTTACTAATTTAAATTAAACTTAGTTTTTGTTACCATTGACTAGTACCTCAGCATTGCGACAGTTGTCACCAACGCTGAGAGAAACACCATGCTGTTTTTCTTTTCATTTCAACCGTATAGCCTTCTCTAGCAAGTTAAAAGAACGTAAAATCACCCAAAGAAGTTGGCCCTTATTTGAAACTACAGCATTAAATCGTGTCGTGCCACGTCTTTCATTGTACGGCATTATTAACTGAAGTCGTTCCAAAGCAGTGCTTTAAATTTTTACTTGATACCCCGCTGACTTCTGCTCACGGCTTCTAATTAAAGCACGCCTACTCCATCCTCTGACATATCTATCGACTGCTTACCAATTTGCGTGGAAATTGTTAAAAACAAGCTTAAGTGGGTACCTTTTATATTTGGCGGATATTCAAGATGTTGAAATGCACAAAAATGTTGAGAGTGAGCGAGACAGTGTGTCCACTAAGAATTTCTGTCTGAAACATGTTACATAACGGCCATATAGATATCGCTAAAATATTTGATCTTCATCAATAATTGGTTGTTTGTGCAATAATATTTGTGGGTGACTGCTTAGTGCACATATTATAATTTAGGATGACATTACGAATAATTTACCAAGAGAGAATAAACTTTTTATAATGAGTACATATACGGGGGGCCACGGTTGGGTGGGGCCCCTAGTCCAGAGCTCTACTGCTTTGCGCGACACTGCGAGGCCGCTGGAACAGCTACTACTGTTCCTACTGGCGTAATCGGAGGATTGTAGACTCCCAAGAGGAAGGAATAGGTTTGTGAATGGGAGGAATACCCCGTGGAGCACAGCATTCCCACGTAGAGTGGTACACTGCCGGTACAGATCCACAGAAAGGGCAGTAGGAGGGTTGCTGAGCTGGATGAAAGCGATTTAGCATATATAGGAAAGGAAATGAATTGGTCTGCAGTTGCTGCGAAGCGGCAGCATCTGCTCTGTGAAGGGAAGGATGTGGAGGAGGATATGTATAACCGAGCGAAGTTGAAGAGCACGACAATGAAATCGGTAACATAAAATACAGCTTCTTATACGAATAGACAGCGTAAACCAACAAACAGATAACCTAAAAAAACCACGTGACCTGAAGGAAGTTATGTGTGCCTAGCACCCAAGATCAATAAATTTGTAATTTTACCCAGAGAAATAAAGAAGCTCTAAAGAAGCATAACAGTGATTTCTCTCGCGGACGCGCACAACAACAACAACAACAACAACAACAACAACAACAACAACAACAACAACAACAACAACAACAACAACAACAACAACAACAACAACAACAACAACAACAACAACAACAACAACAACAACAACAACAACAACAACAACAACAACAACAACAACAACAACAACAACGACAACAACAACAACAACAACAACAACAACAACCCTACTGAAACGTTCCGTTTGTGACTCCAATAATTCCATATGTTTCCATAAAGAATACATATGTTTCCCATATATTTTCCATATATTTCCGTAAGATTCCTACGGAAACATACGGAATTATTTGACATCGCATACGGAACGTTTCAGTAGGGAACAACAACAACAACAACACCAACAACAACAACAACAACAACAACAACAACAACAACAACGACGACGACGACGACGACGACGACGACGATGACGACGAAAACAACAACGACGACAACAACAAAACAACAAATGTACAAACAAGCAAACGGTGTTTTTAAATGATACTGTGTATACAAATATACTTTTCATGGTGTAGTCCTGTCTCCTTTCAATAATAAATACATGCATATCATATCGCTTCTTTTACGTGAGTCAGAAATAGCAGGGTAATTATTGTTGTCATTTAATATTTATATTTAGTGAACCAGGGAAATGAAAGTTACATTGACCTACGAAAGGAAGGTTATATGTTGTCATCTTTTTTTCACAAGGCCCAACTTATTGAGCAGTTACTTTTTAAGCAAAACACGTCCAAAAATGCAAATCAATACGTAGGTTCGTAATGAAGTTCGTTCCTCTCGAATTTATTATTCTGAAAAACAACTGCTCTGGGCTATTTTAGAGGACGAAATTTCGTAACATCAACAGTTAGCGGGAGTTCGCTCGTACAAACAGCACGTGCTCCACTGATAACAGTAACATGACCTCACAAACATCGCACCCCACTGTGTTGTTATTACAACCTGCCGGCTTCAGTGACGCCGTTGCAATCAATCATGTCTGTCCAGATAAATCTCTCTTGAAAGTTAGCGCGTGTGTACGTGTACAAGCGCTTACGCCAGTGCACCTATTACAAAAGGCCTGAGTCATTTGAGGATGACTTTAATTGGGCCATTTACATTGTGTGACGCCCGGTGTTATTTTTTTTATGTCGCATCTTGTTACATCTGTTAAGACGATTCCTTGCCCGACATGAACCCCGTTTAGCGCTTTTTTGCGAAAGGGTTCAGGCCTGCTATGGCAAAGTGGTCAAGTTTGATTGCCTTTCGTCGCTTGATATATTTATCTCATTGTGCGCTGCGGCAGTTACGGAAAGCGGCCGCGGTGGCGGACCACTACACCACCAAAATGTGTTGTTGTTGTGACCTCTAAACTGCTTTCACTGTCAAAATAAAATAACCTAATCTCTACTTTTCTCCATGAAGGCGAAAGGTTGACACCCTGCCCTTAACAAAACCCCTTGGTGTATCTTTTCAGGTGTTTGATAATTTTGACAGCGTCGTCGCCATCTTTGATATAGACAAGGACGGGGATCTTGATTGTTTGAGTGGTGCACGCACATACTACGACAAGCATTCGTCAACCGCTACCTACGTCTGGTTTCTTAAAGGTTTAAATGGCCACAAATCGTGAGTGATTGTTGTATTTTGCAACTTCGATTAGCTTAATAATGCATAAAAAGCTGAGGTTAACTACGATGGCATGACATCGGAAATTATCTTATATCGGCTAGTGACCATATCATACTTGCCCCTTCTGCTCCGAATGACGTATAAGGTCGTCAAAAGGTAGTTCACGAGATTCTCAGCTATGTTGTATAAATAGAAATAAACTACCGCAAAAACGGCACTCTGTATGCCAAGCAGCACCCATTTAACATTGTGTTTCAAATATATGACGTAGTTAAAAAAAACTACGCAATATCCCACTAAATATAACTATGAGTAGCAGGCGAAGCAGCGGATGGGTCGACTTAAAGTTCCGTTCATCACAGGTACCCTGCCCGATGATAACCAAAGTGGTCGATTGGGCCAGTTAGTGAAACATGATGTAAGAGTACTGCGCGGTAGAAAACACGGATGAGAAAAAGACAAGGACAAGTGCAGACTTTTTCCCGTCCATGTTTTCTACCGCGTAGTACTCTTAGACCGATGTTAACGCGTCCTTTTAAGTGGAGCGCACCATGAATTCACTGTAGTTTCTGTTGCCGTTACTCGTCCCGAACTCCAGTTGGAGTACATCACGGGGATTCGCTAGATTTCGTGCTGACCAGTTGTGCCCTCGTGATCTCCGACGACAGCGCTGCTCTGGCCGACTAGGTTGGTCCTACGCCACCTCCTGCCGCCGGTCCCCTACGACGACGACAGCGCATCTTTGGCCGACTAGATTAGCCCTACGCCATCTCCTGTTGCGTGATAGCATATCTTGCGTGATAGCATATCGTCAACTTGTCTTCAAAGAGTTTCGTTTCCGATTGCGAGACACGGTAAGGCCGACGGCGTATAACACCAGAACCATTGGTTTCAATGTGGTGTACAGCCACGGGAGTGTGGCTAAGTGTCATGACACGGCTGTCGAAGCAGGCCCTATGCTTAGCTAAAAGCGCCAGTAACGCTGTGGACTGTGGAGATGTTAGATTAGGGCCGATTATTAGATTAGGGGCGAGGTGTTAGATTAGGGCGGGGAAAGAGAAAGAACTCGCACCTGACGTGGGCAGTGACGATGGAGACGGGCAAAGTGCTGCGATGGAGGTCAGTGGAGAGGCGTGCATCGTCGCTACAGACATCCCCTTGGGTGACATCATTGATTCTGCAGTTGTGTTGCAAATGGGCAGAAGAGCGCGGTCATGAGACAACCGGAGCAGACAGGAGGTGTCGAGAATTGCACAATGAGTGCTGCGCGGAGCAGGGACAACTAGGGCGTCACCATCGTCTACTTGACTAGATGCAACAGCTACCACGTGTTCATGACCAGGGTGCAAAACACAGCCTTCAGCGACTTCAGCAACTTCAGCGTCTTCAGTTGAAGACCAATGAAGGCGGATCTGACAGAGATGCTTCCGATGTATCCCCGATGTGAACGACGTGTTCTTTACTTGATATGACAGCGGAGGCGGAATGCAGGAAGCCCCTACCCAGGATAAGTTCATGAACGTACGTGCGTTGCACAATCATTTCGATGTGGGGACGTAAGCCGTCAATGAAAACGCCAACCGTACACTGTCCATCAGGTTGGATGAGTGCGTTATTTGTGCCACGCGACACATGTCCTAGATATGGGGTTCTTACTTTGCGCAGCCACGAGTACAAGACACTACGTATAACAGAAATAGCGGCACCGGTATCAACGAACGCTTGCACAGGAACACCTTTAGTAGTCACTAACAACACGTTTGCCGGGGAACCAGGAGGAAGTTTGGTCATCGACTGGATGCAGTTTTCCCTCCAAAAACTGCTACCCTTAGTTTTCTTACTGTTAATCAACAGTGCGGGAAAGAGAGTGAATCGGCGATGCCGAGCGTCGGTAGGGTGAAGGAGAGCATCGTATGGAGGAGCGGTAGTCCTAATGTTGACGCGGGGACGCTGGAGGAAACGGAGACTTGTACTGCGTGAAAGTGTAGGACTCTGGAACATAATATTCGGGCCGTCGATAGCGGTCTCACTCGAACTCAGCGTAGCCTCGTCGTTCATCCTGCTGGCGGCGACAGCAGTAACGAGATATGTGGCCTCGGATACCGCAGTAAAAACAAACAGGACAGTACGAACGCCACTGAGGATAAGAAGTTGGAGCAGGTACGCCACATCGCACAGAAGCCGAATGGCCACAAGTAATTGCAGCAGGCCCGAATGTGGTTGCAGAAGGCAGAATAGCTGCTATATATGCATATGTGGGCATCAGTGGTTGATCAATCGATGCTGTCGGAGTCATCACGGAGGCCACATCAGCGTATGTGGGCAGCGGGCATGCTGATGGAGCGACCAGCACTGTCGGTGTTGTCATGGCCGCTAACTCCTGCTTCAAAAGATTCCGCAAGTCGAACGGTGCGGATGAAGTTGAGATGGCAGTGGACCGCAGCTGTTCCAGGTCTCGAAGTTCTTCACAGATGATCGTGTGGACGGAGGCATAAGCGGGGATCACTGTCTTGTTGAAGGCGGAGCGACTGCAACTGATCAAGGTGTTGGCATGCGAACCAACATGGGTGGTTCGCGATTAAGGCTGGTGACAGTGGATGAAGGGTGGGTGGCCGTTGGAATTAGAGTGAAAGGGTTAAGGCTAGGTGTTGGTTCCGTTGTCGGCATAGCTGTGGGGGTGGCCGTGCGCAATCGGCGACCGGATTGTTGCTCCAGTTGGGGCATGAACGAAGGAGGATGTTGGGATTTTTTCACGGCACCCCACCACTCTCTGTGACGCAGGAAGACTTCACTAGCAGGACCAGCAGAAGCGTTTATTCCGGGATGATTGCCTTGGCTCAGAACAGCAACGAATGAGTCTGTCACGCCCCAGAATGCGGCGCTCGTCAAGGAAGAAGAAGTTGGCATTGGGCCGCGCGGCGGGTGCAGCGCGATTATAATAAAAAAATCAGTTCGAAAACTGAACACTGTCAGGGCTGGATCTTTCTCGTGTTAGCTCCGGCAGTTAATTGTGACCCAACAAAGAACACACAACCCGATCACCCCACATGGGTCTCACCTGCTCTTCCACCAATCCTACCGGTTTGACGCCCAAGAAGACGCCAGACCTAGCAGTGCTGCAGTCACTGCAATTCACCATGTCAACCTGACACCAGTTTGGCCTAACAGCCCCTGCACGTGCTTTCTGCAGGTCAAGACACACTTCCGTCCACGGCAAATCACCAGCCAACAGGCCAGGTACTGGCAATCTGGTGTCCTGCTTACCTCCGGATATAGCCGACGACTTAGCTGATATTTTAGTGACGCCACACCCGAGCCATCCCTACGACACGCTGAAGACAGCTATCATTTCCCGCAAGTCCGAGTCTGAACACAGCAGACTTCAACAGCTCATCACGGCTACAGAGCTCGGTGACCGTCGCCCATCGCAGCTCCTGCGACGCATGCGCCAGCTTCTTGGCGGCTCCTCCGCCCTTCCAATAGGAGAAGATGTTACGTGAGTTGTTCCTCTAGCACATGGTCCCGGTACTCGTAGCCGCAGATGTCCCAGTAGACACATTCGCTGAAATAGCTGACCGAGTGGCGGACTGCTCGCGGGCACATATATTCTCAACGCCATTACCACACCGCCACCGGCCACCGCTGCAGACCCGGCACTCGCGAGCGTCGAGAACCGTTTGGACGCTTTTGTCATGCACCTCGATGACTTTGTACCTGCGCATCGTCGACCGTCACCCAGGTTCTAAACACACAGTCGCTCCCCGACGCCCCCACGTTCTCCGGAATTTCAGCCAACCGACACGCCGCGGGACGTCTCATTCTCAACCGTTTGCTGGTACCATCGTCAATTCGGTGGCTCTGCTCGCAAGTGCACTCACCCATGCTCCTGGTCGGGGAAATGCGACGACTGGCCAGTAACGGCGGCAAGTGGTACTGGTAGAAAATTATGCCGCCTTTTTTATGTCTCTAGTAAGATCACTGGCGCATGCTTCCTAGACGAAACAGGAGCCCCGGTTAGCATCATCCCGTCCACGTGTGCAGGTCGCCGTCGCAACGAACAGACCTGCCCACTGCAAGCGATCAACAATTTTTCCATTCGCACATACGGCCAATGCTCTATTACACTTGATCTTGGACTGCGCCGTACGTTGCGCTGGATTTTCATTCTCGCAGACGTCTCGCAAGCTGTTCTTGGAGCTGACTTCCTCAGTTTTTTCAACCTTGCTGTGGACATGCCTACTCATCGCCTCATTGATCTGAACACCCACCTCTCCATCAGCGGTGTACTCTGTACTTCCTCGCCAACGGGACTGCGAGCTCTCACACCTGCTTCGCCGTATGCGAAAATACTCGCCGACTTTCCCAGCATCACGAAGCCGCACACCAGAGAGTCGCCGGTGAAGCATTCTATCACTCACCACATTGTGACCACTGGACCTCCCGTTTTTACACGACCCCGTCGACTATCTGGAGAACGCCTCGCCATCGCCCGCCGTGAATTTGAGCACATGCTGGAACTCAGCATTGTGCGGCCTTCTTCCAGCAACTGGGCGCCATCACTCCACATGGTGCCAAAGAAAGATTCTGGTGACTGGAGACCATGTGAGGATTACCGCGCTCTCAATGCCCGCACGTTACCAGACCACTATGCACTTCCTCACATACAGGATTTCACGTCCAATTCGGCCGGGTGCACAATCTTCCCCTAAGATTGACTTAGTGAAGGCTTACCATCAGATTCCTGTAGAACCCGCTGAGAGTCCGAAGACGGCCATCACCACCCCGTTCGGTCTGTTTGAATATGTGAGGATGCCTTTTGGATTGCTCAACTCTGCACAGACCTTTCAGCGCACTATCAACGAAGTCACGCGAGGTCTCGATTTCGTATTTGCCTACCTTGATGACCTCCTTGTAGCAAGCTCATCCGGCCCTGAGCATGAAGCCCACCTGCGCATCCTGTTCCACTGCCTGGATGATCACGGCCTCGTAATTAAT